AAAAAAAATAAAGGTATTGTGTCCCCCTACAACCCTTTTTATTATTATAAATGGTATTTAATAAAAATAAAATAATTATTAAATATGTATTTATATATTATTTATATATATATTTTTTTTTAATCCTTTTTTTCCTTGTTCTTGTAGGACTGACAACTCCAACAATCAAACCCAAAGGTTAAGTATTTGGTGTTCAGAAGGCAATATTTTGAATTTCCAGCCTGGCCACCTTTCTCCTGTGAAAATGTAGGCTGTTGTTAGGCAGAAGTCCCTTTGAACCTCACTTACCAATGAAAGTCACTTGACTTCCTGAGTTGAGGGACTGGTGTTCTTTTCCTGGAAAGGTGTGTGACAGCTTTTCCTGGGCAAGAGCCTTTCAAGGGCTCATTCCTTACTTTTGAGACCTTGTACAACTACCCTTTGTTGCCATTAGACCTACTCCTGTGGTCTGACTTGGCTGCTTGTTTTCCTCATCCAGATAGGGAATCAAGTATGGGGTCATTTCATGTTTCCTGAATCCCAGAGCTGCAACTTTTCTCATCCCAATCTGAGTCTGTATGAGAAATTTATCACCATGACCTGGCAGGTGGAAGCTCCTATGATTTCCCATGGTAAGTCAGAGCATCCCTGGGTGCTGTTTGTGGTGCAAGAACTGTGGTGGTAGAACTCAACTCTGAGGTCTTGTTTTGGAGATCTGACTGAAAGGGAACTTGCTTTTATCGCCCTTTTGGAGTCCAGACAGGTCCCATGTGCCCCATATGTACTTTTTTTTTTTAATATTTATTTTTTAGTTTTCGGCAGACACAGCATCTTTGTTTGTATGTGGTGCTGAGGATGGAACCCGGGCCGCACGCATGCCAGGAGAGCGCGCTACCGCTTGAGCCACATCCCCAGCCCCCATATGTACGTCTTATTTTTTGGTACCGAGGATTGAATTCAGGGGCTCGTAAACACCGAGTCACACCCCCGCCCCCGCATTTTTTATATTTTATTAAAGACAGGCTCTCACTAAGTTGCTTGGCGCCTCGCTAAATTGATGCGGCTGTCTTTTAACTCGCGATCCTCCCGTCTCAGCCTCCTGGGCCTCTGGGATTACAGGCTTGCGTCATTGCGCCTGGCCCATGTATATTTCCGTAACCTTCTGCATCCCAGTTTTCCCTTTGCTCTAGCCGTCCCTCCATCCTTCGCCACTGCTCAAACCCCACGGTTAGGTGCACTGAGAGATAGGGGGTGAGAGAGGTTCCTTCCCAGCCCGGCAAATCAGTGTGAAATCTGGGGTCTGTCAGTGTGTGTCCCTGGTGGTGCGAGTGACGTTGATTGGTTGTGGCTGAGTGAGTGACGGGACAAAAGCCAATGACGTACATGGATCGGCTGGGTTGCCAGAGGCATGAGCGGCAGGCGCAAGGCAGGCGGGCGCGAGGTACCAGCGCCAGGCAGAGTCAAATGGTGGGTAGAGGGAGTCCGAGCAGGGAATAGGTGGTTGGCGGGGGAAGGGGCAGGCCAGTAGCTAGGGTTATAGAGGAGGAAGGCTGGAAATGGATAGGGAAGGCAGATCAGAGTTGCTGCCCACCCCAATACAGTCAATCCCTGACAAGGAGTGTAGGGATGAGCTGATGGAGTGGAACCGCTGGGATCTGGTGAGAACTTAGGGCGTGGTTGGGAAGTAGGAACCTACCAGTGGGCAGGGCGGGCCTGAATGTGAACATTTCCATAGCAATGTAAAATCCTGACTTCAGCCTGTGAACAGATACCATGGTCATCCCCCCTTTACAAATGAAAAAATGGAGTTTAAAAAAGGTTAGTAGGACCCTGCTACCAACAAGCAACAATCTGGGGATTAAAGTCAGGTGGTAGCTGACACCAGAGTACCTGGTGGGTTGCTTCTCTCAGGACAGCATATGGATTGAACCCAGAGCTTTTCACATGCAAGGCAAGTGCTCTACCACTGAGGTACATCTCCAGCCCTTACACTGCCATCTTTATCTGGCTGGTCCATTTCTTATTAATAATGGATTATAATATGTAATGCTTTATAGATCACTCAGTACCTTCCAGTCATTGTTTCATTTACTGTTCTCAAAACTAAACACACACCAAATGACAAGACACTCAAAAGGGCAATTACCATACAACTCAGCAATTCCATTCCTAGCCATATACTTACCCAAAGTGAAAATACAACTCTACACCCCAACTTGTGTATGTGAATGTTTACAAAAGCATTATGCAGTGAAAACAGAATCACCGAAATGTCAATCATCTGATGAATGGAAAAAAAATGTGGTCTACCACAGAACAGGATATTATATGGCTGTAAAAATGAATAAAGTTCTGACACTGGCTACATGAATAAACCTCAAATGAACTGTTTAGTAAAAGAAACCAGAAAAAAACCCTCATACTGTAAGATTCCATTCTTATGAAATATCCAAAATTGGTAAATTCATAAACAGTAGATCAGTGGTTGCCAGACTGGGAAGTTACATGAAGACATTTTTTGTGGGGCTAGAAACTGAACCTAGGGCTTCATGCTTTCCAGGCAAACACTCTACCACTGAGTCACATCCCAGCCCCCCAATTTTTTGTACTGGGGATTGAACTCAGGGGCACTTATCCACTGAGCCACATCCCTAGCCCCTGCCCCTTTCTTGAGACAGGGTCTTGTTAAGTTGCTGAGGCTGACCTTGAACTTGCGATCCTCCTGACTCAGCTCCCAAGCTGCTGGGATTACAGGCATGCACCATCATGCCTGGCTACATGGAAAGTAAGAAAGTGCACAGTGTTTCTTTGGAGGGGGGTGGGCAATAGAATGTTTTAAAATTAACTTGCTGTGGCTGTGCACTGAACTGTACACAGTCTTCTAAGACAGAATCAATCATGCATGTTTCTGCATGGAGCATGAGAAACAATTACCCTGAGATGGTGAGAAATGTGATGTAAAAAAAATCGATCATTTGCATTTTATCAATTTTCTATAATCATCGTCTATCATGTTACCTTTACAAAATAATATTGAAATCTTATGAAGTTAGTAGAATAACTATACTCATTTTACAGGCCAGGAAACTAGCTCAGGAGTACAGAAGGGCAGGAGTAAAATGAGTAGGCCTTGAGGACTCCAACTCCTACGCTGGTCTCTACAGCTCATGCTAAAACAATTCCTTGGGCACAACAGTCAAGACTCCAAAAATCCCTGATGACCACTTAATGGCGGTAATAAAAATAAGGAATATGATATACCAGGCACACCTGGTATGATTTTAAAACTCAGGCCCATCTTTATCTGGCTGGTACCTTTCTTGTGTTCTGGCTGCTGGGAATGAGTTGGCTCAGGGGTGAATTTTCAAGCCATACATGATTCTCTAGTGAGGATTCTGCAGGCTAGCTTATTATCCTTTTCCATGTTTATTCTTGGGGCTAGGGCTCTCTCCATCTGTTTTAGACAGAAGCTCCTCTCATATTTAGGACCTCTCTTATTCAAGGAGAAATCAAATCTCATGGAAGGCGCAAACAGAATAAAGCAGCTGCTTTTGAAATGCTTTATTAACAACGACTTGAACAGTATAGGGAACAGGTCTAGCTGTGCCCTCATGTTTTCACAGAACAGTCACCACAAGCAGCACAGGACATCCTAACAGCTTTGGCTGCTGCTCGACAGCCTCTGAATTGTGGTGGGGAGATGAAGGCAAACAACAGAGGAAACTCTGGTGCAGCTGAAGTCACACATTACCCAGGAAACTGCAGGTAAGAAGGCAGCACATGGAATCTCAAACTGGGAATGGCAGTATATGAAACCAGGGCTACTGTGGTCTACAATTCAATGCAATTTTGTTCTCTTATGAGGGAAATACATTTACGAAACTGTCACTTCTACAGTGATCCTCACCTATTTATGTGTAGGAAACTTAATATCAGATGGTTGCTATTTCTTGTCACTTAAAATTTATAATCCACTTTAATGATTCAAAAAGGAGGACATGTATATATATAGTCATTGTTGAAAAGGAAAGTGGTTAACTGGGATTTGTGAATTAGGAATGAAGAAAGGTGTTAGCTGGCTTTAAGGAGAGCAAAGGTCAAGAGTTTCAACAATGGTTTTAGAACAAGCCTAAATATAAGGTACAGAGGCCAGTCTTCTAAGACAGAATCAACAGCTATTTTAGTTCATCAACATGCATTTCACAGCCACGATGATGTGTCTGGCACTGATTCCAAATGTATCCAGCAGCTCGCTGGGTCTCCCCCTCCGAGGCACTGCCATCACTGCCAGCTGATGAACCAGGATGTCAGGCTCCATGGAGACAGCTGCAGAGACAGCTTCCCCAATGCCACCTGGGGAAGCAAGGGATATTAGGAACTTTTCTGGAGGTAGCTAGTGAGCCTTAAAGCTACAAAATATACAGACCTTTGAACTTGCTGGCTCCCACAGGGAAATATTTTCCCTAGTCACTGAATCACATAGTCTTCTCCAACTGGCCTAAGGAGTTCTCATCTTAAATTCCAAGACTCCAGTTTGCTCCCACCCCCACATATAACAGGGTCTACTGTCAACCTAGGCTCCATGGATGTGGGAGGGTCTATGGAGCAGATTCTCAAAACTGTGAAGGATGTCAAAACCACTAAGATGAACCAATGAACTGTGCAGGTTCATTGTGCAGACAAGCAGGTCTGAGGCTATTAGCTTGCAAGATAGGCCCTCAGTTGGTGCAAGCAGCTTGCACTGCTGGGATGATTTCTCTGCTGATAGCAGTGGTCCCTCTGTCTGGACTATTTGTAAGAACAACATGGACTAAGCAAGCACCCACTTTTCTGCCAAGAATTGGAAATTTGTTATGTGCCTGGCAGAGGGTGTCAATGTGAGCAGCCCCCAATAGAAATGCAGGGCTCTGAGTCTCTAAGAGGCATACCTGGATAGATATAGCACACATGAGAAGTGTTTTTCTCTGTGTGTCTCATGGCAGGGAGTGAGGTAGACTTCTCCAGTCTTCAACCAAGGTTCCTATACTAGTGGAACCCACCACATGCCCTTCTCCTGTGATAAACCTCAACCAGGAGGGCAACTGGGTGCCACATGCAGGGAGTGCTTCCAGAGAATCATCCATCAGGATGTGGTCCTGGGAGCCATCATGAGAACATATGAAGCTCCTCATCAGATCACATCATGTGGGTTAACCTTCTCAAGTCCAAGTGTCACTCAGCCCTCTCTCCCTCCCTACCATATGCTCTTTTCCTGCATTTACTTTATTCTTTGCAAGGTACTATTTTGGGAGATGGCAAGTAAACTACTAATCATTCAAACTCAAAATTAAACTGTAAATAAAGCTTTCTGTGACTGCTCCCTGTTCAGTACTGAGTTAGCCACTCCTCTGTGTTGCCAACAACCCACCTTGGTGACTGGACAGTGTGCTGGGGACACACAAGAGCATTATGGGCTGGGTGAGAAGATCCCTACATTAATACACTTGCAAAGAACAATAATAAAGGTATGTTGTGAACCAGGGATATGGCTCAGAGATAGAATGCATGTCCAGTATGTGTGAGGCCTTGGGTTCAATCCCAGAACTATCAAAAAAATGTTATCTTTGGGTGAGTAGTAGATGGGCACTGATGCCCAAGAGCATGGAACATCTCCAATCAAGGAAACAAACAAACAAACAAACAAAAAACACTTCTTGCCAAAATAAACTTTCAAACACATTCATGATGCCTGCACACACCTTCTAGGTAGTGATCCTCCACTGTGATAATCCGGCCGCCTGTGGCTCTTGCATTGGAAATGATGGTGGCAACATCCAGGGGTTTAATGGTAAACAGATCAATGACACGGATAAAAATATCTGAAGAAAGTAATACCAGCTTGGTGTAAGAAGCAGACTTAGAATATAGAATATGCAGGCACAAAAATAAACCTGTTGGGGCACATGAGGTAGGCAAAGTCCTGCCTCTTCCAAGGATGAACTTCAATGTTCAGAAACAACCAACTGACCTTGTTTAGAGAGATCATCAGCAGCCACTAAGGCTTCATGCAGAGTAATTCCAGCTCCAATAACCGTGACTTTGTCATTGACACTTTGGCAGACAACCTGGTATAGCACCAACAAAACAAAGTACTGTGGTTACTACATCTAATTATGAATGCAATGCATTCCACTATTGTCATGTATGTAAGAAATAAATAAATAATAAAGCATATCTCAAATCAGAGGGCATTCTGCTACACTGCTATTCCCCAATGCTAATAATGTCACTCCTTAATAATTCACTAGAAAAAAGGCTGAATCAGATGCATTTAAAATCCTGACATACTCTTTTTTTTTGCAAATTTGTCTTCTCTTGACTTACAATACAAATTATTAAGTTCTTATATAATGCATAAATAAAATGATTCTTTAATGCCTAGCATGTACAGGCCCTGGGTTTGATCACCAGTACCCCTAGCCCAAACCACATATATACATATGTACATACACATCTATGTCCACTTTGCAAAACCCAACCATTTAATTACCCATGCCCATGCATGTTACCATATACATACATACACACTTTAAAGTTTCATCCTTCACCATTAGAAAATTTATTTTTTTTCCTCAGGACCAAGAAAATTTTAGGAAACAAAAAGACAAAAGAGATATAAGAAAGATCCTTCAGCTGGGTGCAGTGGTGCACGCCTATAATCCCAGTGGCTCAAGAGGCTAAGGCAGGAGGATCATGAGTTCAAAGCCAGCCTCAGCAATGGCAAGGCCCTAAGCAACTCAGTAAGACCATGTCTCTAAATAAAATACAAAATAGGGCTGGGGATGTGGCTCAGTGGGTGACTGCCCGAGTCCAATCCCCAGTATCCCTAAATGGAAAAAAAAGGAGAGAGAGCAATGGCATTTTAAATTGTGTATTCTACTAAAGTATGATCTCAATTGTGTAAAATATATACATATGCCTAGGAAGAAAGCAGGAAGGAAACATGCCAAAATGCCCATAATACTCTGTAGGTAGTAAGTAGAGTCACAAACTTTCTTCACAGTCTTTTCTAATTTTCCCCATATGCATCTTGGACAGGTAGGCACAGCAGGAAGTGGACAATTTGGTGGAGAGGCCCAGAGAGGCTGAGCTTATGCCTGGGCCCGAATCCTGGTCCTGGTGCTCAGGACCTGTGAAGCCTTGGGCAAGGTGTTTACTTTCTCTGATCCTCATCTACAATAAGGGCTGATAATCTGAGTTTCCCAGGGATTTTATGCAAAGTGCCCAGTAATGTCAAGCTTTAATCATGAGGCCTACAGATAAAGCTATATTCCATGCACAAAATAAACCACAGGGTCAAAGAATCCCCCCCAGCAAAATGGTTTATTTTTTTTTTTTTTTTTAAAACCTGGCCTTAGATCTATAAAATATGAACCTAGCAGATATATATTACTCATTTGGACTGGTTTTTCTTGATTTTGTTTAATTTGAGACTGTGAAAAATTACAGTCAACAAACTCAAGTGCCTTTGAGTTGTTATAAGAGTTCAACAAAAAGACTACATTTGGAAAAGAGAAAAGTGCAGGTCAAACTAAACTGTCAGAAGGCTCCTTCCTAAGGAAAATCAGGCAAAGGTCACGAGTGATTTTTTAAAAAAATTTTTTCAGTTGTAGTTGGACACAATACCTTCATTTTATTTATTTATTTTTATGTGGTGCTTAGGATTGAACCCAGGGCCTCACACATGCTAGGTGAGTGCTCTACCGCTGAGCCACAACCCTAGCCCCGTCACAATTGACTTTTTAAAAACAAAAGAAAAAGAAAAAAATTATTGTTTGTGAGGATGCCTAGGGCAAGGTTTATAACAGTTCTCTTTACATAAATACATAAATACGATACTGGATAACACTGCAGAACTTGAGCCTTACCTTAGCCTGTCCAATCTTAAAGGTTTCTTGAGGAGTATAAAGAACCGCAGTTTCTGGCCGGCTGGTTCGAATGAAACACATTCCCTAGGGCATAATGTAAACCAGACACACAATTTATAAAATCAAGCTATAAATTCCCATAAACCATCAGGAAGTGGGAAAGAGGAAGACTGAGTGTCTACTAAACAATCAACCATACATTTTGAAGCAAGGGACAAACATGTACAACCACGAGTGAACTGGACTGTGCTACTGGGCCAGGCAATAGCCCAAGTGGGACCCTGGCAGATGCCCTTAGTGACAAGCTTTCCAAACTGTCCCTTTTATTAACTTAGAAAACATTTCCCAAATTCTCATTGACTTGTTCTGTCTCCACCGAAATAAACTCAGGACAGAGGCACTGATTCATGTTGACTAGAAAGCCCATAATGTAATGTTAAAAATTAAGTTTTGCCACCATATAGCTTGTAATACTTCATTGTTAGAAAGACCTTAAACATATGAATGTAAAATGACTCACCTTTTCCCAATAAAATGTGTAAATAGAGTTTTACTATCAACTTGCATACATAAACATTTAGGAGCATAATAAAATCTCAAATGTCTAGTTAAAGTATTTGCTAACTTACATTAATATATAAATGATGCATTACAAACTAAAACATCAGCCAGGAAACATTGTGGGGAGCCACTCTGAATGACCCTAGCCTTCCATTCTGAAGCAAGAGGCTCCAACTGATTACTACATTTCATGATAACTTGGGCATTGTCCCAGCTCAGGAAGTCTAAGGCATGTCTTCAGATGTAGGTGTCACCCCTTGGGTTGAATTACACTCACCTATCCCTTGTGACCCTGCCCCTTCTGGCCTTTTTTGGATAGAACTTTCTAAGACTAAGGGTCCCCCAATAAAAGCCCACTTCCGAACGTGCTTGCTCTCTCTCACCAGCCCCTGGTGACTTTCTCTTGCTCTCCCAGTTGGGGAACTTGAGGCCGCGAGCGGAGAAGCCATCCTGAAGCTTGTTTAAAGGTAAAGTGTGTGTCTGTGTTTTATTTGGTGTCCCTGGAAATTTACATGAGTGACTTTTAAGTTCAGCTGCCCACACGGGTTGGGGAGAGCAAAACATTGCTTTTGTTGGGCTTGGGATGTGGCTCAAGTGGTAGCGCTCGTCTGGCATGCATGAGTCACTGGGTTCAATCCTTAGCACCACATAAAATATTGTGTCCACCTAAAACTAAAAAATAAATATTTAAAAGAAAACATTGCTTTCATTCATTCATGTTATAAAGCAGCTTTATTTTGTGTGTCTTGAGATATAACCTAGCTAAAGGAAAAATGCACAAATGCTAAGTGTAGCCCCCTTGAACCTTGGCAAAGGGCACACACCACGTAACTAGCACCCAGCACATCCATCAGCTCAGAGTTCTTTCATGTCTCCTTCCAGTCATTCCCCTCATCCTGAGGGGCAACCTCTACTCTCATTTCCACCACAGCCTTGTTTTGCCTCTTGTGAACTTTCTAGAAATGGAATCAGATAACAAGGATGAAATCATAAAACAATCTCCAAGATATAGTAAATAGGGGCTGAGGATGTAGCTCAGTGGTAGCGCACTTGCCTAGCATGTGCAAGGCCCTGGGTTCCATTCAACACCAAGAAAACCAAAAACCAAAAACCAAAATAAATAAATAAATAAAATAAAAATTCCCCAACCCAAAACAAGTAAAAAAAGTCAGTCCAGAATAATATGTATGATGTGAACCCACTTCAAAAAATCATAGAAATGTCTATGCATATGTGTTGTGAATGTTCAGAAAGGAAATTCATGCACTCTGTCCTGAGTGTGCCAATGTTACCTGTGCAGAGGCATAGGTGAGGTACAGGGCCAGAGGTGCTGAGGGAGTCTGGTAAACATCATGGACAGGTTGGAAAAATACTGACATTATATTCCCTAAGCTCCCTTACAGCTAGGGTCTAGACAGGAATTTAACTCTACCATCTAATGTTATTATACAAGACCTCCCAAGGGGAGCATATGTGGCTTTCTGAGCTGTTTCCAACAGTGAGCCAGAGCTGGGCATCCTGGGGTTTGTCTGCACTAGTACCTATTGTCCACTCTCTAGTTTTCTAGATTTTAAGAGGCAGTGGTGGCAGAAGCAGTGGCTTCTTTATGCCTGGCTGAGGCAACTGGGTGTGCCTTGTTTTTGTTGTTTTGAGTCAGGGTCTTGCCGTTTCCTAGGCTGGTCTCAAACTCAAGGGATCCTCCCACTCCAGGTCTTGAGTAGAACTATAATGGAACTACAGATGTGCACCACTGCACCCAGCTTGGGTATATCTAAGTCCCATAGGCCTAGCAGTGGCCTCAGAGTGGCAGCTACACTGGTGGGTGAATACTCCACAGTTTGGGACACCACCTGGATCCCACTCCTATGATTTCATAAGCATGCTTTGTTAAACCTCTTACCCATTTAGAATACCCAAAGTGCTTCCCATTTCTTGCCCTTAGCCTTGACCCAGAGAGGCAGACAAGCTCTGTTCAGCATCCTTTCATATCATGTTTTAAAGTTCTTTATTTATTTTTATGTGGTATTGAGGATCGAACCCAGTGCCTCACATGTGCCAGACAAGTGCTCTACCACTAAGCCACAACCCCAGCCCCTTTCATATGGTTTGAATCTGTTATAATGCCAGTGTGTCTGTGCACAAAATTACCTGTTGCTGTAAAGATCATACTTAAAAAAATAATACTATCACCACTGAGCTACATCCTCAGCCCCTATTTACTATATCTTGGAGATTGTTTTATGATTTCATCCTTGTTATCTGATTCCATTTCTAGAAAGTTCACAAGAGGCAAAACAAGGCTGTGGTGGAAATGAGAGTAGAGGTTGCCCCTCAGAGACATGAAAAAGGGGGAAAATCCCATCAGTACTAAACTTGGAGCAGAGCCTTTTTTTTCTGGTGCTGGGGATTGAACCCAGGGCCTGGTGCATGTGAGGCAAGCACTCAACCAAATAAGCTATATCCCCAGCCCCTTAGAGCATTTTCTGTCTCAACCAGTATCCCATTAAACATACCTTGGTATTGGCTGCTAAATAAATAGCATGTTCCGTGGAGACAGCATCACTTGGATAAAAAATAGTGCAGTTGGGAACTGCTCGGAACATGGCCAGATCTTCCAGGGCCATCTGGGAGGGGCCATCTTCACCTGAGAAAACCATAGCCCAACAAAAATATGAGCACAACACCTCCAATAAGCTACCCTCTGCCTGCTTACCTGCTCTTGAGAGGTAACAATTCTCATTGCCACAGGGTGCCCCAAACAATAGCAGAGCCCACCAAAATGGTCCAACTTTGATATCGCTGTAACTCATTATAATTTATATTGAGCTTTCACATGTCTATCTCCCTTGAGATCTAGATGAATCAAGTTGGGTTAGGCTCACAATTGACCTTTCAGAATGACTGATCTCTGTCACTTGATACTAATACTGTCTAAGTTGACATGATGCTCTCTTCCCTGAGTTTTGGTGGCCTGAATTGGCCTGAGTCTCTAATCATTCCTATTCTACTTAGGAAGGTCCCCTCACATTTTGACCCTCCTTCTCTGCTCTTCTACTTTCTCCCCCTTAAGACACTGGGTTTTGGGCTGGGGATGTGGCTCAAGCGGTAGCGCGATTGCCTGGCATGCGTGCGGCCCGGGTTCGATCCTCAGCACCACATGCAAAACAAAGATGTTGTGTCTGCCGAGAACTAAGAAATAAATATTAAAATTAAAAAAAAAAGACACTGGGTTTTGTGGATTGGAGTTTCTGACTCCATTTCTCTAGGCTTTCCAAGTAGTTGAATGCCACACACCTTTGAGGACACCTCGGGGTGCTATTATAACTTAGTGTGCCTTAGAATGTATTTGGAAACAGTTCCTGGTCAGAAATTCTGTTGAAAGAGAAACTGCAATGTATGAAGTTGCAGTCTAGCTCTTCCCAGCAAGGAAGAGGACACCACTGTGCACACTGCCTTGCCTGGGACAATGGCCTACCCCCAGAAGTCTAGATCCTCTCTGGGTTGGACTTAAGAGCCATTTCTCCCTGTAGCTGACTTGATTTTCAAACTTACACAGAACCCAAGCCTGGGAAAAGACTCTGGGACTCTCTTCCAGGCCTCTAGCCCTGCCCACCTTTCAATGCTGCTGTGCCTCAGCAGCTTTGGTTCTCTGCTCCCTCCCTGGACAAACATCTGCACCTGCAACCACCTGCCCAGCTGTGACTCCTAGCTCTATCCAGAGCCTTCTTAATCCAATCTAACTAACCTAGGGAATTGCTTAGATGGCTCCCCAGTGTGCTTCTTCAGCATTATAGCAGCAAATGTAAGCATTAAATCTGCCTAGATGACCTGTCCCACCAAGCAGGTCAGGTGAATCATCTTTCCATCATTTCCACCATTCATGAACATGACTCCCTGCCATCTCCCAAGTGAGACTTGCTTTCAGATTTTCATACAGCTGCAGACCCTCCAATCTGTGGCAATGTTTTCTTTTTTCTCCAGGCTCTCTCAGGTTCACCCTTGGTTTTCCACCCTACACTAACTCCCACCCTATTTCAACCCTCTTGTGGGCTTCCCTACTTCCTGTTGTGTCCTTCTGTTCCTCCATGGAAGGTTATTGCTCCTGAAATGATTTCCATCAGTCTATTTCCCTGCCTTTTGTTCCTTAAGGGCTCCCACTGCCCAAAGCACAAAGGTACTTTGGTGATTCCAGCCCCACTTCCATCTGAGTGGTATCCAGACAGAACCTTCTTCTCTTTCCTCTGCCCACATTTCTCATCCCAGTAAAGATGGTGACCAGGCAAAGTGCAGAAAAGAATTCTGGGACTCTGTGCTGTCCTTATTTATATGCAGTAAGACATCCAAGAGGCCTCAGGATACTTATTTCTCAATGACTGAGAATGAGCACTTTACAGTAACACCAAGAGATTCGCCTCAAAGTTTACCTAAGTATTCGAAGCATTTAAAGCACAATAGAGATTTAAAAATTTTTTTTTAGTTGTAGATGGACAGGATACCTTTATTTAATTTACTTATTTTTATGTGGTGCTGGGGATTGAATCCAGGGCTTCACACATGTGAGGCAAGCGCTCTACCACTGAGCCAAAACCCCAGCCTGCACAATAGAGTTTTTAAAAAAGAAGTCCTGAGCTGGGCCTGGTGGCAAATGCCTGTTATCCTAGTAACTCAGGAGGCTAAGGCAGAAGGATCACAAATTGGAGGCCAGCCTGAACAATGTAGTGATACCTGTCTCAAAATAAAAAATAAAAAGGGCTAGGGATGTAGCTCAGCAGTAAAGTATTCTTGGGTTCAATCCTCAGCACCAAAACCCAAACCAAACCAAACAAATAACAAGTCCTGAAGAGTCAAACTTCAGGGAACCATAAAAGAATGCAAGATTTAAGCAATCATGTGCTAAGGTTTCTCTGAAAAGGAAGAAGAAAGCTATCAAGATAATGGCATTCAGAACTCATACCAACGGATACCCCACAGTGAGAACCAATAAGGTTGATGCTGATTTGAGCGATGGCTCCCATGCGGATCTGATCAAATGCTCGGGTCAAAAAGGCAGCAAAAGTGCTAGCAAAAGCAATGGTCCGGCCACGGGTGGCACAGCCCAGTGCCACGCTCACCTGCAACACAGAGAACATGAATTAGAACATTCCTGGACCCTTTTCCCACCTAATTTAGATAGCAAAGTCCCTATGATAATTCCTATTCTGGATATTTAAGACTGCGCTGCAGTCCTAGCATGTTTCTTTTCTGTTCTCTTCTTTCTCAAACCTTTTGTACCCTCATTCCCTGCCTTTCATGCTCTTATGGGACCCTTATCTCGATACCTTCTGAGGAACGAGAAATGAAGAGATGAAGTGTTTCACATCTGCCCCATCCCTTCCTACTGGCTCACCTGCCTCTCCTTGAGAAGGGCCTGCCTACTGGTTATCCTAGATCCCATTCTTCTCTTGCATTCTCAAGTGTCTCCAACATGGTGTCTCCAAGTACACAACGATCCCCCCATGCCACTCAATCCATTTTTCCCTTTCTCTTGTATCATCTTATTGCCAGTCAATACCCGCCAATACCTTCCATTGCCACTCTCCTATTCTGCCTCATCCTCCCTCCAGAGACTGTCCCACATCTATGTACTTCACAGAAAACTTCGTAGAAAGTCATCTATTGTTATTGTCCCCACCGTCTCATCTCCCATTTTCTCCATAGCCTACTTCATCTAGGTTGCCAGCCCCATAAATGACCTTGAGGCTGCCAAATGTGAGTGGTCTCCTGACCTCAGCTGGCATCTCACTTGGCCTCTCAGAAGCATTTGGCTCAAGAAGTCACCCTTCTTTTCTCAAAGCATGTTCTGCTGGAGGTTTCCGTGAGGTTGTAATGGGACCAGTCCTGCTGCTTCATTGGACTGTGCACCTCTTGTTACTCTGATACTCACATTTTAACAACCCCTAATTTATTCCTTACTATTCCTTTCTGTCTCTGCAACTCCAGGCTCATGTATCCCAGTAGACTTCAAATTGGAATACAAACATCTCCAGGAGTAAATAAGGACTTACCAAGGTGGGTGTCACTGTAGCTGGTTTCAAAGGCAGGCAAGCAAGATCTTTGACTGTGTAGCAACTGGGTTACATTCATCTGCTAGAGAAACAGCTGGTGGCTCCTTTTATACTGTCTCTCTAAAAATCACCTACCAACAACCTAACCCCCAAAAGGCATGTTCTCACCCACTTCAATCTTATAGAGAGCAACACTTGGAGTAGTAAACCTCCAACTGAATTAAAGAGGATACTTGGAAATAATTATGCCGGCACTAATAAAGCAAAGAATGTAAATAATCAGATGACAAATCCTTTCACAAGTCAAGTGGTTTTCAATTCTTTTTAACAAAACAGAATGAGATCGCAATGGAACTATCAACTATACAAATAATTTTTACAAACAACTTTTTTGAGACAGGGTCTCACTATCTTATCCAGATTGGCCTGGAACTGGACTGGTGACATTCCTGTCTCAGTTTCCCAAGTAGTTGGGATTACAGTTGTGTATCACTGCGCCTGGCTACAAACAACTTTAAATGAAAGATCATTATGTGATTTTTTTGGTTTGTAATGGAGAAGGAACTGAATGACATTCCTAATCAAATTTGTTTATGTGAATAAGGTTTCTTAGCACTTACATGATTAAAATGAAAAAAAGTTAATAGAATTTCTTCTAAGTCTTATTCAATTATATTTATCCACAGGTATATTAACAAATAGTAACAACCATAACTCAATCCAGAAGAAAAAAATTCTAATGCTTAGAGGCCTATTCATAAAAGAAAAATTTTAAAAAGCTATCAATCTGTATTTTTGTTCCAGAGAACAAGACAATCAATAAAAGGCTTTTGGGCTGGGGTTGTAGCTCAGTGGTAGAGTGCCTGCCTTGCATGTTTGAGGCACTGGGTTCAATCCCCAGCACCACGTAAAAATAAATAAATAAATAAATACAGATATTGTGTCCATCTACAAATAAAAAAATATTTTAAAAAATAAAAGGCTTTTAGGAATAAAGATATTGGGGGGAAGGAATGCAAATAAAAATTCAAGTAGAGGGCTGGGGATGTGGCTCAAGCGGTAGCGTGCTCGCCTGGCATGCGTGCGGCCCGGGTTCGATCCTCAGCACCACATACAAACAAAAGATGTTGTGTCCGCCGAAAAACTAAAAATAAAATTAATTAAAAAAAAATACAATTAAAAAAAAAATTCAAGTAGAAAAAGTGATTTAATTTCTAAAGAAAAATATCTTGGAGTAACCTTTAACTGGATAACTTGACTACTGAAATATCACAAATTTTAATAAACAGACAATTATATCATTTCCAACTATTTAATTTATGGTTAAAAATTCAGATGTTAGGGCTGGGGTTGTGGCTTAGCAGAACACTTGCCTAGCATGTACAAGGTGCTGGGTTGGATCCTCAGCACCACATACAAATAAATAAATAAAATAAAGGTATTGTGTCCAACTACCACTAAAAAAATATTTTAAAAAATTCAGATGTTAGGCCAGACACAGTTGTGTTATGCCCGTAGACCTATCTAGTTGTGAGACAGTGGCAGGAGAATCACTTGAGTCCGGGGAATTCAAGGCTAGCCTGTGAACCTAGTGAAACCCCATCTCAAAAGAAAAAAAAAATTCAGGTGGCTGGGGTTGTGGCTCAGTGGTAAGAGTGCTCACCTAGCATGCATGAAGCACTAGGTTAAATCCTCAGCACCACATAAAAATAAAGGTATTGTGTCCACCTAAAACTAAAAAATAAATATAAAAAAAAATTCAGGGTGGGCACACTTGTAATCCCAGTGACTTGGGAGGCTACGGCAGGAGGATCACAAGTTCAAAGCCACCCTCAGCAATTTATTGAGGCACTATGTAAAATAGTGAGGCCCTGTATCAAAATAAAATATAAAAAAAGGCTGGGTATGTGATTCAGTGGTTAAGCATCCCTGGGACCGATTCCTGGTACCAAAAAAAAAAAAAAAAAAAATCAGATATTAACTTTAAAACTTGACAGAGGGATATGTAGCTTAGGAAAATGCATTCAGTGTATTGGCACCAAACCAGACTGATAGACCAATGGTATAGAATAGAGGACAGAGACTAACCTACAAAATTAAAATTATCTTATATTAGACAAAGGTGCCAAAAACATGCATTGGAGAAAAGATAGCCTCCTCAACAAATGGTGCTGGGAAAACTGGAAATCTGTATGCAACAAAATGAAATTAAATTCCTATCTCTCACCATGCACAAAACTCAAAGTGGATCAAGGACCTAGGAATTAAACCAGAGACTCTGTGTATAATAGAAGAAAAATTAGGCCCGATCTAGGAATTAAACCAGAGACTCTGTGTCTAACAGAAGAAAAATTAGGCCCTAATCTCCATCATGTGGGACTAGGCCTCAACTTCCTTAATAAGACTCGTATAGCACAAGAATTAAAACCAAGAATCAATAAATGGGATGGATTCAAACTAAAAAGTTTCTTCTCAGCAAAAGAAACAATCTATGAGGTGAATAGAGAGCCTACATCTTGGGAGCAAATTTTTTACCCCTCACACATCAGATAGAGCTCTAATCTCTAGAGTATATAAAGAACTCAAAAAGCTAAGCACCAAAATAACAAATAACCCAATCAATAAATGGACCAAGGACCTGAACAGACACTTCTCAGAAGATGATACACAATCAATCAGCAAATATATGAAAAAATGTTCATCATCTCTAGCAATTAGAGAAATGCAAATCAAAGCTACTTTAAGATATCATCTCATTCCTGTCAGAATGGCAGCTATTATGGAGACAAACAACAATAAGTGTTGGCGAGGATGTGGAGAAAAAGGCACATTCACACACTGCTGGTGGGACTGCAAATCGGTGCAGCCAATCTGGAAAGCAGTATAAAAATTCCTTGGAAAACTGGGAATGGAACTACCATTTGACACAATACCCAAAGGACTTAAAACAGCATACCACAGGGTCACAGCCACATCAACGTTTATAGCAGCATAATTCACAATAGCTAAACTGTGGAGCCAACCTAGATACCCTTCAGTAGATGAATGGATAAAGCAAATGTGCCATATATATACAATAGAATATTACTCAGCAATAAAAGAGAATAAAATCATGGCATTTGCAGGTAAATGGATGGAGTTGGAGAAGATAATGCTAAGTGAAGTTAGCCAATACAAAAAAAAATGCTCAATGTTTTCTCTGATATAAAGAGACTGACTCATAGTGGGGTAGGGAGGGGGAGCATAGGAGCAATAGATGAACTCTACATAGGACAGAGGGGTGGGAGGGGAAGGGAGGGGGCATGGGATTATTAATGATGGTGGAATGTGATGATCATTATTATCAAAAGTACATGTATGGAGACATGAATTGGTGTGAACATACTTCATATACAACCAGAGGTATGAAAAATTGTGCTCTGTATGTGTAATATGAATTGTAATGCATTGCACTGTCATTTATTTTAAAAAAACAATAAAAAAGAAAGTACATTCAGTGGCTACAGAGCGAACATGTCTGAAGATACCACTTTCTGCCCCCACCTCTAGGGCCCAAAGAGAGCTCCTATCCCCTCCTCACCCAGTCTTGTCCATCTCAAGAGGTGACACCACTCTCTCCTAGGAACTCCTGGCCTCTTGCATGCTGCTGATCTCTTGTCAGGGAAGGCTCATGAGTCCACTTCTCTCCCATGACCACAGCTATTACACAGCCATGTTCCAGTTTCTTCCCCACCCTTAGCTCCAACAACCTCTCCATCACGTCGCATAGTCTCGAAAAACACACCCTGTCCCTTTTCTGCTTAAGCTTTCCTATGGCTTCCCAGAAAACTGCAAGAAAACCAGGGTTGCTGAAAGTGGCTGACAATACCCTATGATTTGGTCCTTCAAGACCAAATCTGAGACAATTTCCTTCTATGCTCACAATGCCACTCTGGCCTTCCCTCCATTCCTTAAGCATTTCAGACTGTGGCCTGCCTCACATCTATCTAGCCAGACCCTCTGCTGGGAATGTTATCCCCCGCATCTGTACACAACTGATTCCTTGTCACCTGAGTTCCAGCTTGAATATCACCTCTCTTGAGAGGCTGTCCCTGATCAACCCTCACTCTCAACATAACCACATCATGATACTAAATACCACCTTCTGGCCTCCTCTTTTCTGTTTTCTCCCAACTGTGAGTTTGTATCATTAGGCACAGAGCACAGTGATTAGCTGAAGGAATCAATGAGTCAGGGACAATCTTTTTGACAGGAGGTTTGACACAGAAAATTAAGGACCATATTTTTTTCATTCAAAATGAAAACAACTTAATGAGACCCATGAACAAATATACATATTCTTACAATTGTGATGACTTTATTTACTAAACAGAGATGCTTGAACTCTGGTACTGATAGGGCCAGGGAATGACTATAAAGGAATGAGTAGGCCAAAAAAGCATGGGAACCATGAAAAGCTGATTGTGAATGCTAGGACTACTGCTTGGCTCCAGCCAAATGGCATCAGGGAGGCACACCAGCCCATGGTGGCAGCTCTTTCCATTTGTGAAAAGACTCTAGAGAGTTAGAGTCTATATAAAAATATTCTGATTTTTAAATGCTGGAAACTCCTTTTTTCTCCCCCCTGTACCGGGGACTGAACCCAGGGATGCTTAACCTTTAAGCCACAGCCACAGCCCTTTTTATATTTTATTTTGAGATAGGATCTCACCAAGTTTCTTTTTTAGGGCCTCATTAAGTTGCTGAGGCTGGCTTTGAACTTGTGATGCTCCTGCCTCAGTCTCTTCAGCCATTGGGATTACAGGCCTGTGCCACCATGCCCAGCAGCAACTAATTATTATTTTTTAATATTTTTATTTATTTATTTATTTTTAGTTTTCGGCAGACACAACATCTTTGTTTGTATGTGGTGCTGAGGATCGAACCCGGGCCGCACGCATGCCAGGCGAGCGTGCTACCGCTTGAGCCACATCCCCAGCCCCAGCAACTAATTCTTAAAGCATGATTTTATAAGGCCCTGGGCCCCAGTAGGAAGGGAGAAACCACATTCTTGTTGGCATGTCAATGTATTTGCCTGAGTAGCTAAAGGATTGCCTACTTATTGGGTCTAGCCTGGATAGAAAAAGATAATAGGAAGCTCAAGAAGCTTTAGGCCTGGTGTGCTTGAACTGTTGCTGTCTACCTACCTGGACAGGATGTCCAGAGGGTGCTGGGCAATCTACCATGCCTCTCTTAGCAGTCCTGGAGGCCACCTCTTAACTATATCTGGCTACTTGCCTCCTATTTCTCAGGGGACTTTGTCTCCAGTCTGTAGCTTTTATAAATGGAAAGAAAAACAGTAATGCAGGGTGGATCTTCTGTGTCCAGTGGGCCACTGATGGTCAATGAGAAGCCCCAAGAGGGTGGCACAGCACACTCACCATGTTTTGCTCAGCAATAAAACACTCAATGAATCGTTCAGGGTGCTCTTTCTTGAATATCTCAGAGAAGGTGGAGTTCTTGGTGTTACAATCCAGCACAATGACTCTGTTGTTTGCATGGCCCAGCTTAGCTAGAGCCAAACCACATGCTTTTCGAGTAGACACCTAGAAGAAAGTCAAGTGGCATGATTTCTTGGAATGCACTTAGAAGGCAGGCACAATTTTGTAGAATTACAAATTGTTATCTTGATGAAGAAATTAAATAATCTCTTTTTATTTCACATACTCTTAAGCCCCACTTGCCGTATAGGAAAACACTCCACAACTCAACAGGAAGATTTCTGACATTGTAGTTTTTTACTTCATTCTTCAATTAACTTTGCTACATTAATTAGTTTACTGTCTAAAAATTCACAGATGGCATTTTATTTGAAACATCTGAATTAACTACATTTATTGTCCCATTCAGATAGTTCATTAAAAATTTTAAATTCATTTTCTAAAATGTGGATGCCTCTGTTGCTTTTTAATTATAAAACTGATAATACTAATTGGAAACTAATTGCAAGCTATAAAATATCAACTTTAGAATCATGACACCAATAATAAAAAATTCCATTAGGATATACTTTGAGATTGAACTGAATTTATAAATTAATTTAGGGGAGACCTGGCATCTTTACAATATGGACTTTTTATATTAAAAAATAAGGTAAAACAAAAACAAACAAAAAACCCCCGAACAAGGCTGGTGATATAGCTCTGTTGGTAAAGTACTTGGCCTTGCATGCACAAGGTCCTGGGTTTAATCCCCAGCACCACAAAAAACAAAAAACCAAGCTGGGTGGTGCACGCCTGTAATCCCAGCAGCTAGGGAAGCTGAGGCAAGAGTATTGTGAGTTCAAAGCCAGCCTCAGCAAAAGCAAGGCGCTAAGCAACTCAGTGAGACCCTGTCTCTAAATAAAATACAAAACAGGGCTGCGGATGTGGCTCAGTGGTCGACTGCCCAAGTTTAACCCCCAGTACAAAACAAACAAACCCCAAAACAACAAAAACAAGGATCCAGGCACAGTAATGTATGCCCCTAATCCCAGGGACTCTAAAGGTTGAGGTAGGAGGATCACAAGTTTTGGGCCAGCCTCCAACTTAGCAAGGCCCTGTATCAAAATTTAAAATTAAAAAGGGCTGAAGGTGTAGCTCAGGGGTAAAGCACCTAATCCTCAGTACGACCAAACCAAACCAAAAACCAAAACAAGGCTTGGCAATCCCTGAAACTGTTTTTTTTTTCACCAGGGATTGAACCCAGAGGGACTTAACCACTGACCCACATGCCCAAAGCTTTCTATTTTTTGTTTTGAGACACAGTCTTGCTTAGTTGTGCAGAGCCAACTTTGAACTTGTGATGCTCCTGCTTCAGCTTCCCAAGTTGCTGGGATTACAAGTGTGTGCCACTGCACCTGGATCCTCAAACTGTTAAGTGCAGAATTACCATATGACTTAGCAATTCTACTCCTAGGTATATTCCCAAGATAAAATGTAAACCTATACAAAAACTTGGACACAAATGTCCAAAGAAACATTATTCCCAATACTCAAAAGATAGAAACAACCAAATGTCTATCAATGGATAAATGAATAAACAAGATGTGGTATACCTATAAATGGAATGTTATTCAGTCATAAAAAGAAACAAAGTACTGCAGCATGAATGAGCTTCAAAAACACTATGCTAAGTCAAAGAGACCAGACACAGAAAATCATATATGGCTGGGGATGCTGCTCAGTGGATGAGTGCCCCTGAGTTCAATTTCCAGTATCCCTCCCCCACAAAAAGATTTTAAACAGAAAATGTGGTGCTATGGACGTAGGTCTAGCATGCATGAGGCCCTGGGTTAGAGCCCCAGCACCACAAAAAAGGCAATGTGTACACACACTATAAAATTCAAAAGCTATAACAGGATATCAAATGAAGAGGCTATATTCCTTTTGTTCCTGTCCCTCAGCTACCTGGTTCCCCTTTCCAGATGTAAATGGCAATAAGGCTTTCATGAGGGCTGGGATGTGGCTCATGTGGTATCGTGCTTGCCTAGCATGTGTAAGGCACTGGGTTCGATTCTCAGCACCACATAAAAATAAAATAAAAAAGATATTGTGTCCACCTAAAACTAAAAAATAAATTTTTTAAAAATAAGGCTTTCGTGAGGCCTGTTTACAGAAATGGTCTAGGGCATTTCTTACAAAGGCACATGATCTTCTTTTAGGCTTCTAGTTGCACAAGCATATTAATACAGATTTTATATATCTAAATTTATTTTTGGCCATTTTACTATTATAAAGGGATCATCTTCTTACCATCATACCTAATAACCAATTATAATTAAGGTAAAGTATGTTCACACCAATTTATGCCATTATACATGTACTCTTTTTTTTGCATTACAATTCTTAATACACATATATACCACTTTCATATCATCTGTTTGTATATAAGGTATGTTGGCACCAAATTCAAATCTTCATACATGTATTTTGTATAATGAACATATTTTATATACAGAGATACAAAAAATTGTGCCGTATATGTGTAATTAGGATTGTAATGCATTCTACTGTTGTCGTGTATTTAAAAAATAAATAAATTTAAAAAAATAATTAAGGTAAATAAAAAGAATTGATTCTTGTATGTTAGTTTTGCTACAAGCTCTCTCACTGGTCTTTGTTCTTAATTTTAACCATTTCTGGTTCTCTTGGGTTTTCCAGACATATAACTCTATCATCTGCAAATAATATGAAACTTACCTTCTCCTTGTTGGTGCTGATTATTTTATTCTTTCATTTAACCACAGTGACTAACATTTCCAGAGTGGGGCTAAATCTCTTTGCAAGATTATTAAAAATGTTTTTACCTTTAGGTACAAAAGGGGCTCCGGGGCTGGCATTGTGGCTCAGTGGTAGATCACTTGCCTTGCATGTGTAAGGAACTGGGCTTGAAACTCAACATCACATAAAAATAAATAAGATATTGTGTCCACATACAACTAAAAAAAATTTAAAACTAAAAAGGGGCTCCAGATTTACAATATATTTATCTAGAATTGAACCTAGTCTTGCACTATACTGAAGAGCAACATCTCCAGCCCTAAGCAATTTTTCAAACAGGAATGAATGCTGAAATTTTACTTAATGTTTTACTTTCTTTAATACATATAAAAATAATTAGGTTTTTCTTTCCTCCTTTGTATAACTCACTGATGTATTATTAGGTCAAACAGTCCCTGACTCTTTAATTGTTCGATTTTTTGGGCTTTACAATGGTATTTGAAAGTTATTCACCTTTGTTATAAAAATGGGGACCCTCCAACTTTAGCCTCTCAAGTTCTGAGAGTATAGGTACATGCCATTGCATCAAACTTATATACTTGCCATTTAAAAAAAAAATTGAGTGTTGAGACAGTCTTGCTAAGTTGTGCAGGTTGTCTTAAACTTCTTTTAATGTACTAATGCACATGACCTTGGTTAATGTTTTACTTAGTTTTTTTTTGCACTGATATTTATAATTGGTCTATAGTTTTCTTTGGGCTATTTTTGTTACATTTTGGCTTCATAAATGAATTGAGATGATACTTTGTTCTTCAAATTTGGAAAGGTTTGAAACAGCTAAAGAATTACCTATTCTTTGAAGGCTAAAAATAAGTCACCCTTGAAATTTGGTGAACCTGATGCTTCAGAGGTATTATCTTGGACAGTTTTCTCAAGACTTTTTCCTATGGCTATTGACAGATTTAAGCTTTTTATATCTCTTTTAGTCAACTTTTGATATTTCATGCATTCCTAAAATATGGCCCCCATCCTTTTAAACATGTTTTCATACCAATTAGCATGGAGTTGTATAGCTTTCTATTCATATATAAATATATATGTATATTTTAGTTGTAGACGGACACGACACCTATTTATTTATTTTATTTGCTTATTTAATTAATTAATTAATTAATTAATTATGTGTCGCTGAGGATCAAACTCAGTGCCTTACACATGCTAGGAGAGTGTTCTACCACTGAGCCCCCTCTCTTAATTCTTTTTTTTTTAATATTTTTTAGTTACAGATGGATACATATCTTTATTTTTTTTTTTAATTTTTCTGTGGTGCTGAGGATCGAACTCAGTGCCTCACGCGTGCTAGGCGAGTGCTCTACCTCTGAGCCACAATCCCAGCCCCTCTCTTAATTCTTTATGTGTTCTCTGTATCTGTGTTTATTGCCTTTTCCCAAAGACTAAATTTTATTTTTTTTAAATTTATTTTGTAGTTTTAGGTGGACATAATATTTTTTTTATTTTTATGTGGTGCTGAGGACTGAACCCAGGTCCTCATGCATACTAGGTAAGCACTCTACCACTGAGCCACAACCGCAGCCCCAAGACTAAATTTAATATATTTATGGCTTTTATCTCATCAAGGAGGCTAGCTAATAGCTTGTTTGCTATATTGGTAATTCAAAGGGCCAGTTTTATAACTTCTTTTGTTTTTAATTTGATTTTTGGAGTTGTAGATGGACATAATGCCTTTATTTTATTTGTTTATTTCTATGTGGTGCTGAGGATTGAACCCAGTGCCTCACATATACTAGGCAAGCACTCTGCCATTGAGCCACAGCCCCAGTCCCAAAGGACCAATTTTAGAATCACACATTAATGTGTCTTCTTTTTTAATTCACTGATTTTTGGGCAGGGGTGCCGGGGATTGAACTCAGGGGCACTCAACCACTGAGCAACTTCCCCACCCTGTTTTGTATTTTATTTAGAGACAGGGTCTCACTGAGTTGCTTAATTAGCACCTCACCACTGCTGAGGCTGGCTTTGAACTTGAGATCCTCCTGCCTCAGCCTCCTGAGCCACTGGGATTATAGGCATGTGCCACTGCATCCAGCTAATTTGCTGATTTTTGACAAACTACTCTGCTTCCCTAATACATTTTTCCTATTCATAAGTTCTTTAAAAAATTAAAAGTTCCCATAATCCCTTCTTTCAGATAAACACTTAACAATTTGATGTCATTCCTCTAAATACACTTTTATGTCCTATAATAAATAATGTGCTAACTCCTTTTAAGATTTTCTACACAAAAATAAAATCATATGTTACTTTTCATTCAAAAACTTCTAGTAATAATTTAGGCAAGCTCAGCCTCTCTTGCTGGGTTGTTTCCAATTTTGGTATCAGAACCCACACTGCAATCAACATTCCTTCCAATAGACATATCTGCATGCTTACAGATATGTGTTTTTATAGGATAAATCCCTATAAGTTGCACAGCTAGTTTGAAGGGTATGAAGAGCTGAAGTATTAAGACACATTGCCAAAGTACCCTTCTGCTTTTTAATTTCGTTCCTAATTTCTCAAGTGGTTAATTCATCTGGTTTTAATCTATATTATCAGGTTAAGAAAACAACCAAATGGGGCTGGGATTGTGGCTCAGCGGTAGAGTGCTCGCCCAGCATGGGCAGGGCCCGGGTTCGATCCTCAGCACCACATAAAAATAAAGGTATTGTGTCTGTGTCTATCTACACCTAAAAAATAAATATTATAAAAATAAAACAACCAATACTCAAAATTTGTGCAAATAAATAGGGAAAATAAAAGAAGAGTCAAAAAATACTTCCTTCCAGGCTGAGGTTGTATCTCAGTGGTGGAGTACTTGCCTATTAGGTGTGAGGTACTGGGTTTGATCCTCAGCACCACATAAAAACAAATAAATGAAACAAAGGTATTGCGTCCATCTACAACTAAAAAAAAATATTTTTAAATGCCTTAAAAATATTTCCACCTAGGCCTGCTGCCTTATTTCTTCTGTCTTGAAGACCCAACCTTTTTTAGGTCTGCTATAGTATACCACAGGGCAGAATATAAAAATAACAAAACCCACTGGGCATGGTGGTGTACAACTACAGTTCAGCTCTTCAGGCAGGATCATTCAAGCCCAGGAGTCTGAGGACAGCCTGGGCAGCATAGCAACACCTTGTCTTAAATAAATACACACACACACACACACCAAAAACTTTTATATAAGGCTTTATGTTTAGGGTTTTACACATAACTTGATTCCTTTTTGAAGAATTGTTGTTTGATAAATTGGACTGCTTTCTTGTGTAATCCAGCATAAAGTTCAAAAGATTGGCCCATCCTTCTCAGGCAGACACACAATCATGGTAGTTTTGTGCATAGTTGGACTGTCAGGGCAAAAATTGAACTAAGGAAGCAAGACAAAGCCATAAGGCCCTGGATGGTAATAAATAGGAATTGATCAGTATGAAAATTCAGACCTAAGTAAGTATAAAAGCAAAGAATAAAAAAAGAGAATAAACCCATCTTTACTGATTATAACCATTAAGTAATTATCACACAATTGGTTTATCCATTGATATTAAGATAAATCAAGAATACTATGTATTTAGGAAGAAAGAGAACAAAGCATGTTGATATACATGATTTAGTCAATCACCCACATTTTGCTTACCACATCGCCAACTTCATAAGCAGGTGAACAGGTCATTTTTATATCCATGATATTGACTTGAGGTGAATCCTCAATAGGGGTTTGTGGTACAAGACTCCTGTTGGTCTGTATCTGGCTCTCAATTAATTTGATAATTGCATCTGCTCTTTCTTTTGGCATTGGTTTTCCATACCAACTTTCTGCATCTTCAACATCTGCAAGAAAAAAGCCATTCATTCCAAACTTTTAATGAGCATCTATTAGGTCATTTGAAAGGCTTTACGATTAAAAAATGTTAAATCTAGGACTCCCATTAAGAACCAGGCATAGAGGGGCCTAGTATGGTACTGCAGTCAGAGAGATCAGCCTGAACAAAGGCCATGTGACTTTAAAGGGGGCCATTGGCCCATATTCGGTAAATGGAGAGAAGAATGTGGGAGATTACGTTGAAAACACAGAAAGGGTAGACTGTGGAGTGGAGGGCTCATGGGTATAAAGAGTCTGAATTTTATCCAACACAACCTGGGAAACCATTGAAGGGATTGGATTAGTAAATGATTAGTCATGTTGTATAAAGATCACTGTGGTAGCAATGTGGAGACTGGCTTGGAAGGAAGCAAGCTGGAAGTAGACAGACCCCTCCAGATGTTGTTGCAGTTCAGAAGAGATGATGGGGGCTTGGCAACAATTGTGGCAGTTGAGATGGGGAGGGGAAAACACATCTTACATACTCTAAGGGATCACATATATGGAGTGACAACATAGGGGAGAGGGAGAGTCAAGGACAGTGCCCAGGGTTCTGCCAAGGAAACACTGGTAATGTTATTTATGGAACTGGGGGAACCACAGTAAGATTATATTTGGGGGAAGAGTTGTGGACTGGTTTTATTCTAAAATATCTATATTATTGTTTAAAGAAACCAGAAATCTAAACTTGAACAATTTCAGACAGCCTTAAGTATGCAAGGACTTAGTCTTTTAAAACTCCTTTCTGGACTGGGGCTATAGCTCAGTGGCAGAGCACTTACCTGACGCATGTGAGGCACTGGGTTCAATTCTTAGCACCACATAAAAATAAACAAATAACAAACAGCATAGCATGATGTCTATGTACAACTACAAAAAAAAATTTTTAAAACCAACCAGCCAAACCAAAAAAAAAAAAAAAAAACACAAAAAAAACCCACCTTGGGCTGGGGTTGTAGCTCAGTGGCAGAGAACTTGCCTAACGTGTGAGCACTGGGTTTGATTCTCAGCACCACATATAAATAACTAAAATAAAGGTCCATTAACTAACTAAAATAATGTGTTTTAAAAAAACCCTACCTTCCTCCCCCAATCCTAGTTCCACAGCTGCCATTTCAAGATGTGATACTTCACCAAGTCCCTGTGTTTTTCTAGATGGCCTGGGCCAAAGCAAGTATACATGTATGCATACTCTTATTCATGGGGCTGCTCATACATGTAGCACAGTTTATCATTCTATGAATGGAACAGTGAAGATCATTTCGCATTAGCCTTCCAATTAATGCACCACCACACATGGAAGAATGTTTTGATTGTTATAGTTATTGTAGATAAATGAACACTTAGTGAACTCTTCTCCTAGCCACTCCTTCACACAGGTAGATAAATCACTGTTGACTGGCTTTCGCCTCCTACCCTAACCAGACAGAGTTATCTAGTGAGGGCAAGAGAGGAGTCTTGAGCACATGTTACAGGTGTTATCATTGTTCACTAAGGAAAAGGCATTTGCTTTGCATCCTTCTGCTGTGCACACCAATGTTCTGAATACACACAAGTAGGAAAGAAACACTTACTTGGCATGCCCCTCCCCTTGAAGGTCTTGGCAACCACGGCAGTGGGCTTGCTTTTCACTTGAGCTGCTTGCCAGAACACCTGGCACAGTGCCTCCACATCACGACCATCCACCATGTAAGTGTTCCACCTGTTAACAAGGATACCAGGTTACAACGAAGAAGGGAAGCAGGACAGAAAGAAGGTAAGGCAAGAAAAGGTATGGTTACCCAAAGGCTTCACAGCGCTTCTGATAGACTTCTATGCAGTGCTCAAGGGGCAAGGTGCCACCATGTCCCAGGCGGTTCACATCAAAGATCACCACAAGATTATCCAGACTGTAGTAGGAAGCGAAGGCCAATGCCTCCCAGACAGAGCCTTCAGACGACTCACCATCTCCCAGGAGGCAGAACACACGGTAGCTGGAACAAGCCAAGAAAAGTTTAGGATCCTGCTGGGGGCTTACCTGGACCACTCAAACAAATGCATTTCAGGGACAGGGACAAAGGAACAGACTGGACAAGACTGGAGATGCCACTTCAGATCATCAGGTCCCTATGCCTATTTTCTCCTTACCAATTCTAAGCATACTCAGCAGCTGAAGAAAGGACATTCTAAATGCTTGGGCCTCATGAGATGGTCATCACCTTTGGTGAGCTTTCTCATTCCAGCTCTGAGGCTATTTTTAGCTGCTTCTGCTATTTCTCTCAATCAGAAAGCAAAAGGCAAGAGGGGAATGGGAAGAAAGCAGTTCCCTGAAATTCCCAAACAACATATACACTTAAATTTTCTTGGCAAATTCCATTTTTAAGTACCACTATCTTCTATTTCTTTCCTTCCCTTCCTTCCCTCCTTCCCTCCCTCCCTTCCTTCCTGTACTGGGGATTGAACCCAAGGGTGCGTAACCATTGAGCCACATCTCCAGTCCTTTTAAATATTTTATATAGACAGGGTCTCACTAATTTGCTTAGGGCCTTCCTAAATTGCTGAGGCTGGCTTTGAACTCACAATCCTCCTACCTCAGCCTCCCAAGCTGCTGGGATTATAGGCATGCACTACCACGCCCAGTACCACTTCCTTCTATTTCTGATATTACAATTTATCTACAATAACTATAACAATCAAAACATTCTTCCATGTATGGTGGTGCATGCCTATAATTCCAGCAACTCAGGAAGCTGAGACAGGTGGGTCACAAGTTTGAGGCCAGCCTCAGCAACTTAGTGAGGCCTTAATAAATTTAGCAAGACCGTGTCTAAAAAAATGTAAAAAAAAAAAAAAAAAAAAAAAGGCTGGGTATGTACCTCAGATCTCACTAAAATGCTCTAAGTTAAAAAAAAAAAAAGTTAACTCCAGGATAAGAAAAAGAGAAACAGTCACCAATGAAAAATTTCAGACCTATGGGAAATGGAGCAGGGTAGCCTAAGGACTAGAGGAAGCACAATGAAATGCTTCCAGAGTCGCCATGGAGCCCAGGGGAACTGATCATTTAGGGTTCTTCCCCATCTGAGGAGCTAGGTGGCTGTTTTCCCAAGGAGACAGAAGCTCCCCACCCTGGAGAAATTGAACCCGAGGGGCTCTGGACTCAGGCCTGCTATACACAGCAGAGGACGTGGGTGCTCATGGAACTGGACCAGGTACATCACCACTGCTTTGCTCCCACATCAGCAACAGCAACCTTTCAAGAAAGAGACTGATTTTCTTGTCTTTGAAAAGGGGGAACCAGGGCTAAAGATGTAGCTCAGTACTAGAAGAGCACTTGCCTAGCATGTGTGAGACACTGGGTTTGATCCTCAGCACCACATACAAATAATTAAAGGAATTGCATCCATCTACAACTAAAACAAAAGAAAAAGGGGGAACCAACCCAGAAAAACGTCCTTTGTTATTAGCATTCAGGGGCCCTATGCAAAGAAAAACCCACTAATGAGTTCATTCTAGAGGAAAGATCACCAGAGATGGAAAACACAAAGTTGTTACTTAGGAAAGATCTATGTGCTAATACAGAGGTACCTGTACTGCAGCTACCACTTAGACCCCAACCAGGAATGGTAAGACAGTTTCCAGAAACCTGATTTCTTTACTGCTCCAATACTTGGTAACATGAGCTTTAAAAACCATTTGTCTTCCCAAACTATTGAACTGAAAAGTTTAAGTGAGAAGATGGGGCAGTGGAGTGAATATGGGTAAGTGCCTTACCTGGCCTGGTCAAAGTACTTGCCAGTATATGCCATCCCACACGCAGCCCCCAGTCCTTGCCCAAGCCATCCTGTTGCCACATCAACAAAGGACAGTCTCTGTAAGAGAAAAGGGACCCAATGAACCTAGGAGCAGCTGTAGGACAAGAATGTCAAGCAGATTTCCAGTGCTGAATGTAAGCCACTCCTGTTGACCATCCCGCCAGGCTAAATGAATTCCTCTTTGACACGCCCACATGCACCCTGAGTCTCAGATCAATGTCATAAGAGGACTATGGGTTGAGCCCCACCCAGTCTGGGCTGGAAACTGGAGTGACAAAGATGCCACGCCCAGGACTGGGGTTGTGGCTCAGTGGTAGAGTGCTTGCCAAGCATGTGTGAGGCACTGGGTTCAATTCTCAGCACCACATAAAAATAAATGAATAACATAATGGTATTGCGTCAATCTACAACCCAAGAATTTTTTTTAATTCTTAAAAAAAAAAAAAAAGATGCCAGCTGGGCATGGTGGCATACACTTGTAACCCCAGCTGCTCAGGAGGCTGAGACAGGAGGATTGAGAGTTCAAAGCCAGCCTCAGCAAAAAGTGAGGGACTAAGCAACTCAGTGAGACCCTGTCTCTAAATAAAATACAAAATAGGGCTAGGATATGGCTCAGTGGTCCAGTGCCCCCAAGTTCAATCCCAGGGACCCCGCCCCCCAAAAAAGATGCCATGCCCAGGTAACCACAGAATTCAGCATGGGGAGGGTGACTAGAATTTTGGGAACACAGAGGAGGGAACTTAACTGCAAAGCAGAAAATGTAAGGCATCTTCCCAAGGCCTTTGTTCCAGCCATGCAAAAACCACATGTGCAATCTTTTAGAAAATATGGGTTCTTTGGGGCTGGGATTGTGGCACAGAGGTAGAGCGCTTGCCTAGCACGTGCGAGGCCCCGGGTTAGATCCTCACACCACATAAAAATAAATAAAATAAAGACAACTACAACTAAAAAATAAATATATAAAAAAAGAAAATATGGGTTCTTAAATAGAAACCCCCAACACTAAAGTTTGTGAGTTTCCTGGTTTGTAAAACTCAGGTGAACTGTTGGTCATACAGAAGTGCCACTACTATAAGCAGATCACTTTCCACTACTACTTTGCCACACCTCTGCTAACATCCAGTTTGCATGTACCAAAATCCCTGTGCCATGAAGAGAATGTGACCCATGAAAAAGGGTTGCTGCTCTGGCGGGACATGCCCCACTCCTGAGCTTCCAGATATACTGAATTTATTTAATAGCTTCTGCTGCTGCCATCTCAGCCTAATTACTGACATCCCTTGCCTGTCAATGCAGTGGCCTCTTCTGCCTCCCCGACCCAGACATTCTCAACCCAGCCACCAGTAGGAGTCTATTAAAACTTAAGGTAGAGGGAAGCAGCGGCTGGGGATGTGGCTTAGCAGTAGAGCACTTGCCTCGCACATGCGAGACCCTGGGTTCGATCCTCAGCACCACATACAAAAATAAACAAATGAAATAAAGTTGTTGTGTCCAACTACAACTAAAAAATAAATATTAAAAAAAAACTTAAGCCAGGGGCTAGGCAAGTACTCTAGCATATGTGAGGCACTGGGTTCTATTCTCAGCACCACATAAAAATAAATAAAATAAAGGTCCATTGACAACTAAAAAAACAAAAAACCTAAGCCAGGATGGTGGTACACACCTGTAATCCCAGCAACTTCAGAGGCTGAGGCCCTAAGCAATTTAATGAGAACTGTCAAAATATAAAAATATAATATAAATATTTTTATAATAAATATTTTTGATATAAAGTATCAAAAATAAGTAGGGCTGGGGATCTGGCTCAGTGGTAAAGTTTCCCTGGGTTAAACCCCCAGAACCCAAAACAACAAAAACAAACAACAACAAAAACTTAAACCAGGTTAACAGATCTATGCTAACAGCCCAAGTTCTTACACCAGCTTGCCCACTTCAGCCCCCTTACCTCCTACTTGCCTTCTCACTACCCCAGGCACTTTAGCTTTCTTGCTGTCCCTTAAGCACAATGGGCACATATCTGCCTCAGGGCCTTAGCACTTGTAGTTGCTGCTACCCAAGTGCTTGTGCTTAGATATGAGCATAGTTCACTCTCTCACTTTATAAATTGCTGTTCAAACATCAGTATCATGGTCTCTGGATTATTCTCTTTCAACCAGTGCCCTCTACCCCCTCCCTCCACCTTACTTTGTTCCAGAATGCTTAGCCTCATCAGATTTGCTATCTATTTCCAGGTTTGTATCTCGTCTGTCTCCTCTGTCCAAATGCCAGCTTCATTCACAGACCAGTGCCATGTTCATCACTACCATGAATAAATGAATGGTACTTGTCATTCTCAGATCTCTTTCCTGTTTCCCATTCTCCACTGCTCTCTGGGACTTTCTGACCTTACCTGGAATTCTCCACATGCTTTGTGCCCTCAGATTCCCTTTCAATTTTGTATTTCTCACCTAGTGGAACTGTGCCGCTGAAGATTCTTCTGATCATGTCTCTAGGTTTGTCTTCCTCTCTATGGTTCCTGCCTCCTTTAACAAGCTCTGGTTAGCTGCCTTGCATGCCCTTGGAGTTGATGACCTACAATGTCATGGACCAAGCCTGGGCTCAACACTCAGACCAATTCTGCTGCCTTCTGGCCATGAAGTGTGGGGCAAGTGAGCCCACTTCCTCAAGGCTTCACTTTTTAGGTTTGATGGAGACAAGAGCCCCCCTCAGGTGGCAGGATTTTATGATGTACACAAAGAACCAACATGATAAACAGGGCCCATTTTAGGCCTGTTGCCACATGATGACTTAAAAACTGGTTAAGAAGCAAGCATCAGAACAGGCCCAGGGTTCCCCTGCCGACGTACCTTTGAGAGGATGAATCGGTCGTTGTCTGGGTTCTCTGGGTCTGACTGTTTATATCTCATTGTGTGGAAGAAAAGCACAGACATGATCTCGGCAGCACTGCTGCATGATGTAGGGTGGCTGAAAGGCAGACACAAAGCAAGTCAATTCTCAAAGGCATGTGACAGTGCATGAAGCTGCCTTTCAGCTTATGCTCTCCACAATCCAAGGGAGTCCATGGCCTCCCAACTCATGGCTGAAGACTGCTTCACAGCCCAGTAACCTCACAATCTCTTGCACACAGTGAGATGCTCTGAGGCTAGTTCCCTTCTATTGGGAGCACTTGCACTCAGAGCAAGTTCACCTTCTGAGTTCAACTTGAGCATCATTTCACCCGTGTGATTTCATCCATAGTGAAATGAAATTTCTGAGGAAATTTCAGGAGCATCATTAATGAAAAATGTCATGCATATCTCTTTCTACTACCTAAAATGAACTTGTTATTAGAAGTGAATGGTGAAAGACTGGAAAATTTCTCACGGTCAAGTAACTTGGGCCTTTCCTGAATGCTGAAATAACTAATGCTCTTAGAAAGTAGCTTACATGTAAGTGTAGACAGTTTTAAATTTATTTGTTTAAACAGGGAGTTGAGCACAGGAGCACTTTACCAGTGATCTACATCCTCAGTCCTTTTTTTTTTTATTTTTGAAACAGGGTATTACTAAGTTGCTTAGGGCCTCATTAAATTGTTGCAGCTGACCTTGACTTACAATCCTTGTGTCTCAGCCTCCTGGGTCCTTAGATTACCCATATGCACCACCACTCCTGGTGTCAATTTTTAGTTTAAAGAGGAGAAGAAGCCAGCACAGTGGTCCACACCTGTAATCCTGGTGGCTCAGAAGGCTGAGGCAGGAGGATTGTGAGTTCAAAACCAGCGTTAGAAACTTAGCAAGGCCCTAAGCAAGTTAGTTGTTTTAATAAAAATATTTTAAAAGTCATGATGTTGTGGCTCAGTTGTGAAGCATCCTGGGTTCAATCCCCAATACCAAAATAAAATAAAATAAAATAAATAAAAAATAAAAGGGACAGGGAGAAAGGACAAAGAACAAAAGCTTCTTCCTGAAAACATTTGCCAACTATTTATCTGACAGAGGGTTAATATACAGAAAATGTAAGGAACTGGGCTGAGGATGTGGCTCAAGCGGTAACGCGCTTGCCTGGCATGTGCGGGGTGCTGGGTTCGATCCTCAGCGCCACATAAAAATAAAAAAATAAAAGATGTTGTGTCCACCGAAAACTAAAAAATAAACATTAAAAAAATTCTCTCTCTTTAAAAAAAAAAAGAAAGAAAATATAAGGAACTCAAAAATTTTAACAAGAAAGTCAATTTCAATTAAAAATGGGGAGATAATCTGAATAGATAACTTCTCAAAAGAAGAAATAGGGATGGTCGACAAATATATGAAAAAATGTTTAATATCATTAGGTTTCAGGAAAATGCAAATCAAAACTCCAATGAGGGCTTGGGATGTAACTTTGCAGTAGTGTGCTTGCCTAGCCTGTATGAGGCCCTCTGTTTAATCCCTAAAACCACAAAAACAAACAAACTACAATGACATATCATCTCACTTCAATGGCTATTATAAAAAAATGCCGGTGAGTATACGGAGGATAAGGGAACTCATACACTGCTGGCTGGAATGTAAATTACTACAGTCACTATGGAAGTTCTTAAAAAAATAAAATAGACTTACCTTATGACCTAGCTATCCCATTTCTGGATATAGATCCAAAGGAAATAAAATCAACATACCAAAGACATACCTGCATCCCCATGTTTATCACAGCACTGTTCACAATAGCTAAGATATACAATCAGCCTAGGTGCCCATTAACAGATAAAAGGATAAAGAAAATGTGATATAGATAGAGAATGGAATATCATTCAACCTTGAAGAATGAAATCTGGGCTGGGTGTACAGCCCAGTGTTAAAGTGTTTGCCTCACATGAGAAGAGGCCCTGGGTTTGATTCCCAGTGCCTGTCAAAAAATAGAGAATGAAATCCCATCATTTGTATCAAAATGGATGGAACTGGAGAATATTATGTTAAGTGAAATAAGCCAGACACAGAAAGACAAGTACCATGTGTTCCCTCTCATGTAGAAGCTTAAAAAAAAAGTTGAGGGATGGGGATGTAGCTTAGAGATACAGCACTTGCCTATTTGCCTGGCATGTTCAAGGCCCTGGGTTCATGCCACAGCACCACACACAAAAACAGACTTGAATATAAAATTACTGCTAACAGAGGTTGGGAAGTATATATGTGGTAGGATAGATAAGGAGAAGCTGGATATGATCAGTGTGCTCTTTATGCATATGTGGAAATATGACAATGAACCCAACATGTACAGTTAATTTGTGTTAATAAAAAGGAGGCAGGAGTGGGCTGGGGCTGGGGCTCAGTGGTAGCGCACTTGCCAGGCATGTATGGGGCATTGGGTTTGATTCAAAGGTCTACGAACAACTACAAAAAAAAAAAAAAAAAAAGAGCCAGGAGGACCAGGGTTGTGGCTCAGTGAGGAACTGGGTTTGATCCCCAGCACCACATAAAATTAGATAAATAAAAAACAAATAAAATAAAGGTATTGTGTCCATCTACAACTAAAAAAAAATTTTTTAAAAAAGAGAGTCAGTAGTGGTGTACATGCCTATAATCCCAGCCATGAGGGAGGCTTAGGAAGGAGGACTGCTAAGTCCAGGCCAGACTGGGCAACTTAGTGAGATCCTGTCTCAAACTAAAATTTAAAAAAAAAAAGGCTGTAGCTCAGTGGTAGAATATTTGCCTAGCATGTGCAAGGCACTGGGTTTAATCCCCAGTTAAAAAAAAAAAGACAAATACATAAATAAATAAATGGAAAACCTCTACTCCCTATAGCCCAGCTTCAACAGTAAGAAAAACAAGATTTTAGGCCCAAGTCATTCATACCTTTGTTTAAAAGTTTCACAGTATAGGGCTGGGTTGTGGCTCAATGGTAGAGTGTTTGTCTGGCATGTGAGGGGCACTGGGTTCAATTCTCAGCACTGCATATAAATAAATGAATAAAATAAAGGTTCATCAACATCTAAAACATTTCTAAAAAGTTTCACAATATAAAATAAGGCATGAGGACTTAAGCCTTCATGCCTTATAAATGTCTCCTAAGTAGATAGTTTATATTTATAAGCTATTAGGAATCCTTTGAGAAAATGCAATGCTGTTATTAGTTTTGAAAGTTAAAAAAAAACTTGGGCTGGAGGTGTAGCTCAGTTGTAGTTCTAGGTTTGATCTGCAGCAGCACTACCAACAAAACCAAAGCAACCTTGAAAATATGTGGATCTTAAAGGGAATCACATCCTTTTTTAAAAAAACAGGGTCTCACTATGCTATGTTGTCCAAGCTGATGGTGATCTCCAGGGTTCAAGCGATCATTCCAGGTCCACATTGTCCTTTTAATGTCATAGCCTATGTTCCAGGGCCAGATTTTTAAAAAAATATTAAATTAAATTAATTAATTTATTTTTGGTACTGGAGATTGAACCCAGGGTCCTTTAACTACTGAGCCACATATCCAGCCTTTTTATATTTTATTTAGAGACAGGGTCTTGCTGAGTAGCTTTAAAGCCTCACTAAATTGCTAAGGCTGGCTTTGAACTCGAAATCATCCTGTCTCAGCCTCCCAAGCTGCTGGGATTACAGGTGTGCACCATTGTTCCTGGCTTAGGGCCAGATTTTTAAAAAAATCAATATATCATTTTGTCTGAGCCCAATGAGATGAAATTACAATTGAAATAAAAATTGAACAATATAACAAATTAAACAACTCGACCTTTACGCAACCAAAAAGTCAAAAAGGGAATCACAAGGAAAATCAGAAAATGAAAACAAAAGCATAAAACCCATACTTATGAAATGAAGGAAAAAGTAGTGCCAAGAAGGAAATTTATAGCTGTAAGCACATTCAAAAAAATTTTCCAATCAACCTAAGTCTATTAAGGAACTAAAAACAAAACCCAAAGCCATCAGAAGGAAAAACAATGATTAGAATAGAAATAAATAACATAGAGACCAAGAAAACGTTAGAGAAAAATCAATAAAACAAAAAATTATTTTTGTGGTTTTGGAAATCAAACTTAGAGTCTCTAGCATGCTAGGTAAGGGCTCTAGCACTGAGATATGCTCCCAACCTCAAAAGTTGGTCCTTTGAAAATAACAACAAAAGTTTAGGTAAATGATCTAAGTAAAAAAAGAGAAAGTAAAAAGGAGAAAAGAGAATTAACTAAACTGAGATAGTGAAAGTGTAGCCATTACTGTCAATTACACAGAAAATTAGAATGATTAGAAGAGACTATTGTGAGCTACTGTATGCCAGCAAGTCGGTTAATTAAGTCAATGTAATTTTTAGAAATAGAGAACTTAACAGAAGTGAATCACGACTAGAAACAGTTTGAACAAATTATACAATGGGTAAGGACAATGAATCAGCAATCTAAAAACTCCCCACAAGCCTAGTGCTGCGCACACCTGTAATTGCAGTTACTAGGAAGGATGAGGCAGCAGGCTCGCTGGAGCCCAGGAGTTTCAGAGCAGTTTGGGCAACAAAGTGAGGCGAGGCGGTGGTCTGAATAAACATACAAAAAGAAAAATTCTCAACAAACAAAATCCTTCCAGTTTATAGCTTTACTGATGAATAGTAGCAAACATTTAAAGAAAAATTAAAATCAATCCTCCTCACACTCTTAAAAAAAAAAAAAAAAAAAAAAAGGAAGGTGGAACATTTTGGATGAGATCGGGTGCATTCGGGTGGTAGAGCCATAAACGGAAGGTGGAACATTCCAAAAGCCATTCCATGAAGCGAGCAGTGACAGTGAAGCACTCCACAATAATTACAAACTCCTTCCTTAGCCAGTCACAGCGGCATGAGCCTGTGTCCTGGCTAATTTGGAGGGGCAGGGTGATTGATCGCTGGGGCCCAGGAGTTTAATGCCAGACTTGGTGAAATAGCGAAATCTCATTTCCAATAGAGAGGGGGGGGCGTCAAAGAAATATTTAAAAAGAAAGAAAAAAAAAGAGTAATTAAATAA